ACCCCAAAAGTAATACAACAGAGTGATGAAGTTAGTCAGAACAGATAGAGAAATATTTGCACACACCACCTTTAGTACTGGGGGTCTGACACAGAAGAAAGGGTGGGTTTTATTTGGTTTACACAATATTAGGGGAGCAGAATGGGAATTCCAGTACATGTGACTATGCCCATGCAAAACCTATACTTGGACCAGGAGACGGTCATCAGACAGAGCAAGGAAACACTGCCTGGTTCAAAATCAGTAAAGGTGTATACCACAGATGCATCCAATCCCATCCTTTTTCAATCTATATGTTAGCTGAAACTGAGGAGGACCTAAAGCTGTAGAGAGTCAAGATGTGGATTGAAGCTCAATATCAAGAAAACAAAGATTCTCACTAGTAAACTGAATGGCAATATCATAATAGGTGGAGAAGAGATTGAGATTGCTAATAATTTCAGCTTGCTTGTTGAGGGGAACTGAGAAGACAGGGTAATGATGGTCATGATTCAATGGTGATTGATTTTATAAAACTTAATGAATGAGGATATCTTGCTTTGGATGCAAGACTGTCAACAAAGCCCTGTGGAATTCTGGGAGGATGGGTGTTACCTCATTAGGGAGGGCAAAGGTTATTCCACTCTCTTACCCTGTGTGAAGCCCAGGGGTTCCCAATACTAGTTTGGGTTGAATGTCTTGTCTTGCTTTGGATAGTGCCCTGGATGGGCTCACGAGGTTGTACCAAGAAATCTGGAGGACAGCTTCTGGACAACTGACTGGAAACGATCCATATTTATTCCTATATTTAAAAAAATGGTGATCCAACAGATTGTGGAAATTATAGCACAATATCACTAATATTACAAGTAAGCAAAATCCTGATGAATATTATCCAAAAATGACTGGAACAGTCACTGACAGAGAACCACTAGACATTAAAGCCTGGGTTTAGAAGAAGTCTTGACAGTAGAGACATTATCACCAATGTCAGATAGATCTTGGCAGAAAGCAAAGAGTATCAGAGGGATGCCTATCTGTGTTCCATTGACTATGCAAGCACATTTAATTGCATGGATCACAAAAAATTGTGGCTAACCTTTAAGAAAATGGGAATCCCAGAACACTTGATTGTACTCATACGAAACCTATATTCAGACCAGGAAGTTGTTCTCAGAACACAGCAAGGAAACCGCATGGTTCAAAAACAGGAAAGGAGTGTGTCAGGGATGTGTCCTGTCTCCAAAACTTCTCAATCTACATGCAGAACATATAATTCAGGAGGCTGAACTTTATGAGGAAGAATTTGGCATCAGGATTGAAGGAAGACTCATCCACAGCCTGCACTGTGCAGATGACACAAATTTGCTGGCTGAAATGGAGGAACACTTGTTACTGTAGAAGGTCAAGGACTGTAGTCTTCAATAGAGACTGAAGCTCAGAATCGAGAAAGCAAATATACTCTCCCCAGGGACAATTGTAGCACCACGCTAGACGGAGAAGATATAGAGATTGTTAACAATATCAGCTTGCTTGGCTCCACAATCAATGCTCTTGGCACCAGCAAACAGGAAACCAAAAGACGAATTACACTGGGAAAATCTGCTGTCAAGGACCTCTCCAGAGTAATGAAGAGCAATGACATCAATCTAGAGACCAAAGTGAACCTGATCCAGGCCATGGTCTTTGCAATTACCTGCTACACATCAGAGGTCGGACAATGACTTTGGATGAAGAAAGAATAATTGGTGGCTTTGAGTTGTGGTGCTAGAGAAGAGTATTGAATATACCATGGACTGCCAAGAGAATGAATAGGCCTATCTTGGAGAAGGTAAAACCAAGTTTCTCCTTGGAGGCAAGAATCTTGAAACTCCATCTAACATACTTTGGGCATGTAGTCAGGAGGGACCAGTCCTTGAAGACATGCTTGTAACGGTGATGAGATGGATTGATATAGTAACTGGAATAATGGGCATAAATGTGTTGGACTCGGTGAGACTGCCTCAGGATAGGGCAGGCTTCAGAGCTATTGTACATAGGGTCGTTATGAGTCATAGGCAACTTGATGCTACATAATAAAAACAAGAAGAAGAAGTAATAAGAATAACTATATGAAACAAAATGTGAATAAAGGATAGTGTGAAATACAATGTATGCAAATATTGTATGAAACCAAGTGGTATTTTAAAAAAGTACATAAAACACTTAATTTTAAGACTAGTAGCAGTTTTATAATGATATCAATTTTACATGATTTACTAAAGTGTTTGGGGAAATAGAAGTAATAGTAGCTATGGTGTTTGAGTGCTAAGAAGCTGCACTTCAATCTCAAAGACGCGCAGTTCAAATCCACCAGCTGCTCTGTACAAGAAGCATGGGCAATCTCCTCACACGTGATTTACTGTCTCTGAAAACCTTCAGGAATGTCATCTTTGAGTTAGTTTACCACTTGATGGTGCAAAACAAAAATAGAAAATAAATGTAAATCAAACATGTAAAATTTCTTCAAAGTTTTACTTTATTTTAATTTAAGTCTGTGAACAAATTTATTTGTTCCTCTTTTTTATTTTCTTCTTTTCCTTCTTCTTTATATGCATTAGTACTTTAGATGAATATATCCATGCGTGGACATTTGAAACTTTCCCCCAGAGTATTATTGTTCTTGTGGTTCATACCCACCAACTGATGTAAGGGAGAAAAACGAAACCAATCCTCCCATGTGATTTACAGCCTCTAAGTACCCAGTGGAGGATCAACAATGAGTTGGTTCTAATTCATTGGCAATGAGAGTGTCATGAAAATATTACAAAATAAAATAGTAACATTCATAATTTTCTACAAATAAAAATTACAAATTTTCTTTCCCTACCAGTTGTTACTTGCACACTATCTGCTCTTCAGACATACACTGGAAATCTTCACAAGATTTAGGGGTTGCCTTTTGAATCTTTGCACAAATTTGATGTAATATTTCTCAGTTATAATAAAGATTAAAACCAAAGCACAATGGATATTTATTTTAGCTATATAGCTGTGGCTGATTCTGAGAAGAATGGGAATCCTGGACATTCGATCATGCTTATGCAAAACCTACACTTGGACCAGGAGCAGTGGTCAGACCAGAGCAAGGAAACACTCCATGGTTCAAAATTGGGAAGGGTGTACGCTAGGGATGTGTCCTATCACCATACCTTTTCAATCTATATGCAGAACAGAGTATCTGGGAGGCTGGGCTCTATGAGGAGAAATGTGACATCAGGATTGGTGGAAGATCCATCAACAATCTGCGTTATGCAAATGACACAACCCTGCTTGCTGAAACTGAGG